TGTATCGTATATCATAAGTTCATCTATTTACTTATGTAATACATTTCTAAAGAAAATAAATTATTATTCACGAAAACTGTTAACCATTGGTTAATATCATTTAATATAACTATTTTAACACTTAATAACTAAAGTTTCAAAATTATCATCTAAAAGATTGTAATATTCATTTTACTAATACTTTTGTAGTATCCAGCAATTTAGAAATACATTATAATTATTTGAAATAATTTATCTTTTTACAAACATATTCTAACAAGTATAATTACGTGTATAGTCAAGTTATATTTGTTTCGATTGTGTATATTGCATATATTTAAATTATTCCTTTTTCTCATGCTTCTTAAATTTCACATTTTTTAAAATAAATATACATGTAACCTGTAATTTTTGGATATCTTACTTTTCATCAAGCTCAAAGTAATTAAAGTTAGGTGTTCTTGCATCCATGCATATATTCCGCATAAACAATTGCATGAGATCTGTACGTTTGCTGCGGGTATTAACCTCAAGCAACGGGTTTTAATTGTCAAGAAGAAATAAATAAACTGAAAAAATATTTTTTTTTAAATTGTTCATTTTGAGTGTACATGTATTACATGTTTTCATAAGATTAAAAACAATAATCATTAACATTGTGCGAAACGTTAAAGAATTTGAAAATCGTCAAATTTATAAAAATATAACTTAAATAAATTTTCAGTTGTAATTAGAAAATTAGATAATATACTTTTTAGAGCTTTTTAAACTGAACTTTTAGTACCTGATGATTTTATTAGTACTTTGACAATTTGAGGTTAAGTGTAACATGTTTTAATAAATGCATTTGTGAAGTATAAAAGTAAACAAAATGTCTCTATATGACGATTTTGACAAACATAGAACATCAGAGAAAGTAGCTGGATGGTCATCCAGTATTAAGCTGTTACAATCTCAATTACAATTAAAAAAAGCTGCCACTACACAGGTACATTTCTTATATAGTAATAGTCTTATATAGTAATGACTGAACGATAATGGTATTTAAAATGACAATGTTATATGTTTAGCCAAAACGTGAACAATATAGAAAAGCTACAGCAGTATTAGCACCTGTTATAGACTTGAAATCAAAAGCCAATCGAAATGCAGATAGAGATGATGATGGACTTCATAATAATCCACTCTCTTCTGGTGCTGTTAGTAGTATTGGAGTCGGTGGAGAATTTGACTGGAATGTAATAAATGAATACGATCCTATGTGGCCTAATGAATATGACAAAGTTGTTAAAGAATTGAGGGATTTACGCGATAGAGAACATGATCAAGAAACTGAAATGCGTAAACGTAGACGAGATAGTTCACGTTTTGAGGACACACAGGTAATATGGAAATTTCTCCTTATATATTTATGACATGTAAAAATATAATAATATGAAAACTCTACCAAATGAAAGTTAGGAATGTTCCTTTATAACAAAGAATGTAAATATTTGTTTTAGACTTCTTCTGGGAATAGTACAATGATTCCTCCTGAAAGAGATGAGGAAAGAACTCCAACATCAAGAGGTATTGCTGGAGGAGCAGCTATTGCTCCACCACCTTCCTTACAAGAATCTTCTGATCTTCCACCTCCAGCACCAAGACCACCAACTAACATGGGATATGCAACATCATCTGTAGCAGCGAAGATAATGGCAAAATATGGCTTCAAAGAAGGACAGGGGCTCGGTAAAAAAGAACAAGGAATGTCTGTTGCTTTGCAAGTAGAAAAAACTAGTAAGCGAGGTGGAAGAATTGTTGGGGAAAGAGAACAACTTATGCCACCACCACCACCTGTTGCTACTTCTCCTCCTCCAGTACAACAGCAAGCTCCTGCTTCACAACCTTCTGAGGAACCTAGTATTACAGAAATAATGAAATGTCCTAGTAAGGTAAGAAAAAGAATTAATTTTTTATCTCATCATATATTTCAATAATATCACTGAAAATTTAATTTACAAAGGATATTTTTTGCATGACAGTAACTTGGAACTTTTTAAATACATTATATGGTAGAGGTGTGAATATGTTTTGTAAAATATGTAATAAAAAATTCAATATACATGTTAAATCCTTCTTCATTCAAAAATATACTATTTTTAATTAGGTTGTGTTGCTACGTAATATGGTTGGTCCGGGAGAAGTAGACGATGATCTTGAACCTGAAGTTAAAGATGAATGTAATACAAAGTATGGAGATGTTGCGCGTGTTATCATTCATGAAGTAACGGAAGCTGCTGCGGAAGAAGCTGTTAGAATTTTTGTAGAATTTAAGAGAATAGAAAGTGCTATTAAAGCTGTTGTTGATTTAAATGGACGCTTTTTCGGCGGAAGACAAGTTAAAGCAGGTTTTTATTCCAGTGAAAAACTTGATAGTTTACAATTAATGGATTAAGTTCTTATTTAATAACTTTGCTTAATAAATGCTACTTAATAAATGCAACAATATGAAATTAATGTGCTGACTATTATGTTAAAGATTACATAACATCGTGATATAATTGAAGTACCTTCTAATGTAAAGAAATAGAATTTATATAATAGTCAACATATTGAGGAATATTTCAATTTATATCTTAAATAAAATTAACTAAGATGTAATATTAGCATTAAAATAAAAATTAATATTTTAAAAAGTGCATAACAGAAAAAATAAAGGAACATATGCTTTTGTGATTTCACAAAATAAAACAATAATTATGTTAACAAATAATATAGCAAGTTATAATTGCATTGCAATTTACTAATATAAATTTCATGCTTAAAAATAAGATATTTAAAAAATATTCAATATCAATAAATTAAAGTTTCTTTGTTTATATCTTTCCCATCCATTTGCCTTATATAAAATATATAATAAAACCATAATAATTTAAATATTTATCTGTAATGTATAAAAGCTTAGCAACTGCAACTTTATTTTAATTTTTTGTTGCTAATTAAATTTTCAACTGTTTTGTTTAGTTGAGCACTAAATGCAGCAAAACTAAAGGTTTCCATAAATCTATCTTTGCCTGCATTACCAAATTCCTGCATATATGTAGGATTTTTAATCAAATAAGCTATTTTCGAAGCAAATGCATCACCACATAAATCAACTAAAAATCCGGTAACTTCAGAAATTACAGATTCTTTTGGACCACCAGAATTATGTGCAATTACTGGTTTACCCATGTACATTGCTTCAAGAGGTACAATACCAAAATGTTCATTTGGGGGCGTATACAATATAATTTTAGAATGATGTAGAATTGATACTTTATCAATGTCTGAAGGGGAACGGAGAAATATTATTTTATCTGTAACATGTAATTCATCAGCAAGGCCTATTAATTCCAAATAATGTTCTACATTTTCTTCAACCCTCTTGTCATATCCTCCAGCTATAATTAAATATACTTTTTTGTATTCTTCTTCTGTTAAGTATTTTTTAAGTTCTGCCAATGATTCTACTGCTAAACCCAAATTTTTTTTACGTTCATATCTATTAATTGATAATAATACAATACTATCTGGTGATAATTTTTTATCAAGTACTCTTTCCAAAGACATTATTCGAGTTTTATCAAAAAAGTCTGTATTGATAGAAGGATAGAGAACTTCAGGTTCAATATGTAATCTCTTAAAAGTGTCCTTAAACACAGTCTGTGTATATATGCTATTTACAAATATTTTATGTGCCATTCCAGTTGTTATTTCTTCTAAATAATTAAGAGGCACACGATATAATTGTTTGCAAATTCCTTCTGGTTGTGAAAGCAACTGATCTGGATGATGACAATAAAAAATTACATGTGGAATTCGCCATCTAAGGATAGGAATACATGCAGAAACCAAATCACAAAATACAATCTCTGGTCGATGTTCACAGAAAATGATATAGCTAGCTGCATATATCTGAAAAAGAAAATAAAATGTGAAAACAATCTGTAGATGATAATTTCTTAATTATTTTTATGGAAAAATATGATGTTTTAAGTATATAAAAAATTTAACATTAATACAGAAAGAATAAAGTTCTTTAACATATACAAAGAATCAGATATTTAATACACAAAAAATGAGCTGACCATACGAATATAAGCGAAAAGTGCGAAGAATCTACCCAAGATATGCCTTGGTAACCAGTTTCCCACAACTGTAACAGGAATTGTTCCATCTTTTGTCTCAGAGAAACAATGCTCTGGATCATGATGAGTTGTCACGAAGTTAACCTCGTAACCCTGTTTTTTTAAAGCTAATGCTGCATCAACTACCAATCTTTCTGCTCCTCCAATACCAAGATCTGGATGTAAAAATGTAACTCGTGTCATTTTTATTAATTTAATAATATTAAAAACAACATTTATCAAAAACAGCACAATCCGTTACTTTCACGACACTACCGGTCTATAGTATAACACCTGTTAGTTCTTTAAAACCTGTTTTCAATGCAAACCAAACATAGCACTTGACAAATCATAAAAATCGCCAGAAGTGATTAGTCAAATATTTTACAGAGTTGAGTGTATGTATGAAGTTTCTTCCGATGTTTACAATTAGTGAAAAATTTAGTTATATTTGTAAATATATATAGAAAACGTATTGATAATAAATATATATTGTGTATGAAATTGTCTGGATATAATATATGATAACAAAAGAAATTAATTTTCATTGTTTTTTATGTGATATTTAAAAGGTAAACATTAATACCTCAATTTTGATATTAAAATATTCGTTATTAATTATGTCAAATACTCTAAGAAGTACTGTTACGGAAAATGTAAAGAAACGCTTAAAAGAATCGTTTTGTTTAATGGACAGTGATGCTGATGGTTACTTAGATTATCATGAAATGAAAGCTACATTGAAAGCTTTGGGTTTTACAATTAAAAAGTCTTATGTTTTAGCTATTATACAAATGTATGACAAACATAATTGTAGTAAAATTTGCTTTGAAGATTTTAATTATGTTGGTGTGTTTAACAGAGCATTATT